CTTCCAGTCCTTGGGAATTCTGAATCCTCCAATCCTTGGGAATTCCAGATCCTTCAATTCCTTGGGAATTCTGGGTCCTTCAATCCTTGGGAATTTGGGAATTCCAGATCCTCCAATCCTTGGGAATTTGGGAATTCCAGACCCTCCAATCCCTGGGAATTCCGGGTCCTCCAAAATTCCAGGATCTCCAATTCCTTGGGAATTCTGGGTCCTTCGATCCCCTGGGAATTCCGCATCCTCCAAAATTCCAGATCCTCTGTTTCCTCGGGAATTTGGGAATTCCAGCTCTTCCAGTCCTTGGGAATTGCGGCTCTTCCCGAATTCCAGGTCCTCCGATCCCTGGGAATTCCGGGTCCTCCAAAATTCCAGACCCTCCGATTCCTTGGGAATTGTGGCTCCTCCAATTCCTTGGGAATTCCAGATCCTCCAATTCCTTGGGAATTCCAGATCCTCCAATCCTTGGGAATTTGGGAATTCCAGCTCTTCCAGTCCTTGGGAATTCCGAATCCTCCAATCCTTGGGAATTCCAGATCCTTCAATTCCTTGGGAATTCTGGGTCCTTCAATCCTTGGGAATTTGGGAATTCCAGATCCTCCAATCCTTGGGAATTTGGGAATTCCAGACCCTCCAATCCCTGGGAATTCCGGGTCCTCCAAAATTCCAGGATCTCCAATTCCTTGGGAATTCTGGGTCCTTCGATCCCTGGGAATTCTGGCTCCTCCAAAATTCCAGATCCTCTGATTCCTTGGGAATTATTTGGGAATTCCAGCTCTTCCAGTCCCTGGGAATTGTGGCTCCTCCAATTCCTTGGGAATTCCAGGTCCTGCAATCCTTGGGAATTTGGGAATTCCAGACCCTCCAATTCCTTGGGAATTTGGGAATTCCAGATCCTTCAATTCCTTGGGAATTCCAGATCCTCCAATCCCTGGGAATTCTGGGTCCTCCAAAATTCCAGATCCTCCGATTCCCTGGGAATTCCAGATCCTCCGATTCCTTGGGAATTTGGGAATTCCAACTCTTCCAATCCTTGGAAATTCCAGATCCTTCAATTCCTGGGAATTCCGGGTCCTTCGATCCCTGGGAATTCCGGGTCCTCCAAAATTCCAGATCCTCCGATTCCTTGGGAATTGTGGCTCCTCCAATCCCTGGGAATTTCCAGGTCCTGCAATCCTTGGGAATTCCGGGTCCTTCAATTCCTTGGGAATTCTGGGTCCTTCAATCCCTGGGAATTTGGGAATTCCAGCTCTTCCAGTCCTTGGGAATTGCGGCTCTTCTGGAATTCCGGGTCCTTCGATCCCCGGGAATTGCGGCTCCTCCAAAATTCCAGATCCTCCAGTCCCTGGGAATTCCAGATCCTCTGATTCCTTGGGAATTTGGGAATTCCAGCTCTTCCAGTCCCTGGGAATTCCAGATCTTCCAATCCCTGGGAATTCCAGGTCCTTCAATCCCTGGGAATTGTGGCTCCTCCAATCCCTGGGAATTCTGGGTCCTGCAATCCTTGGGAATTTGGGAATTCCAGACCCTCCAATTCCTTGGGAATTCCAGATCCTCCAATTCCTTGGGAATTCTGGGTCCTCCAATTCCTTGGGAATTTGGGAATTCCAGATCCTTCAATTCCTTGGGAATTCCAGATCCTCCAATCCTTGGGAATTCTGGGTCCTCCAAAATTCCAGATCCTCCAATTCCTTGGGAATTATTTGGGAATTCTAACTCTTCCAGTCCTTGGGAATTCCAGATCCTCCAATCCCTGGGAATTTGGGAATTCTGGGTCCTTCAATTCCTTGGGAATTTGGGAATTCCAGACCCTCCGATTCCTTGGGAATTCCAGATCCTCCAATCCCTGGGAATTCCAGATCCTCCAATCCTTGGGAATTGCGGCTCCTCCAAAATTCCAGACCCTCCAATTCCTTGGGAATTTGGGAATTCCAGATCCTCCAATCCCTTGGGAATTGCGGCTCCTCCAAAATTCCCATGAAAAATTCCCCCCTAAAAAAATTCCCAAAATAAATTTTAAAAAATTCCCCCAAAAATGAAATTCCCGGGAGAAAAAAAAAGAAAAAATTCCCCAAAAAAATTTTTCCCAAAAAAATTCCCAGAATGAAATTTCTCAAAAAAAAGAAAAAAAAATTCCCAAAATTCCCCCAAAAATTCAGGCCTGAGGGGAAACTGAGGCACGGGGTGGGAATGGCCGGATCCCAAAGGGAAACTGAGGCACGGGACGGGAAAAACAGATCCTAAAGGGAAACTGAGGCATGGGGTGGGTGTAACTGGATCTAGAGGGAAACTGAGGCACGGGGTGGGAATGGCCGGATCCCAAAGGGAAACTGAGGCATGGGATGGGTTTAACTGGATCTAGAGGGGAAACTGAGGCACGGGATGGGAAAAACAGATCCTAAAGGGAAACTGAGGCACGGCGCTGGTTGAACTGGATCCCAAAGGGAAACTGAGGCACAGGATGGGGGTGATTGGATCCCAAAAGGGAAACTGAGGCATGGGACGGGAATGACCGGATCCACGGGGAAACTGAGGCACGGGACGGGAATGACCAGATCCCAAAGGGAAACTGAGGCACGGGATGAGAATGACCGGATCCATGGGGAAACTGAGGCACGGCGCTGCTTGAACCGGATCCCAAAGGGAAACTGAGGCACGGGATGGATTCAAGAATCCCAAGGGGGAAACTGAGGCACAGTGCGAGAATGACCGGATCCTGAAGGGAAACTGAGGCACGGGATGGGAATGACCGGATCCACAGGGAAACTGAGGCACGGGACGGGAATGACTGGATCCACGGGGAAACTGAGGCACGGAATGGGAATGACCGGATCCACAGGGAAACTGAGGCACGGGATGGGAATGACCGGATCCACGGGGAAACTGAGGCACGGGACGGGAATGACCGGATCCTGAAGGGAAACTGAGGCACGGGATGGGAATGACCGGATCCATGGGGAAACTGAGGCACGGCACTGGTTGAACCGGATCCCAAAAGGGAAACTGAGGCAGGGGATGGTGGGAGTGACTTCTTGGAGCTCCGGGAATTTTGGGAATTTGGATCTCTGGGATTCCCTGGGAACCCCCGGAGCTCCGGGAATTTTGGGAATTTTGGATCTCTGGGAACCCCCGGAGCTCCGGGAATTTTGGGAATTTTGGATCTCTGGGAACCCCCGGAGCTCCGGGAATTTTGGGAATTTGGATCTCTGGGAACCCCTGGGAACCCCCGGAGCTCCGGGAATTTTGGGATGTCGCTGATCCCGGGGGTCCCCCGGGTGCCACCATCGCTCTCCTCCCAGGGTCCCCAGGGCTCCTCGGGATCGGGATCTGTGGGATCCTCGGGATCTTTGGGATTGGGATCCTTGGGATCCTCGGGATCAGGATTGGGATCTGTGGGATCCTTGGGATCGGGATCAGGATCGGGATCAGGATCGGAATCCTCAGGATCCTCGGGATCAGGATCGAGATCCTCGGGATCTTTGGGATCGGGATCAGGATTGGGATCTTCGGGATCAGGATTGGGATCGGAATCCCCAGGATCTTTGGGATCGGAATCCTCAGGATCCTCGGGATCAGGATTGGGATCTGTGGGATCCTTGGGATTGGGATCTTCAGGATCTTTGGGATCGGGATCTTTGGGATCAGGACCGGGATCCTCGGGATCAGGATTGGGATTGGGATCTTCGGGATCAGGATTGGGATCCTCAGGATCTTTGGGATCGGGATCAGGATCAGAATCCTCAGGATCCTTGGGATTGGGATCCTCGGGATCCTCGGGATCAGGATTGGGATCTGTGAGATCCTTGGGATCGGGATCCTCAGGATCTTTGGGATCGGGATCAGGATTGGGATCTTTGGGATCAGGATCGGGATCGGAATCCTCAGGATCCTTGGGATTGGGATCAGGATCCTCGGGATCAGGACCGGGATCCTCAGGATCAGGATTGGGATCTGTGGGATCCTTGGGATCGGGATCAGGATTGGGATCTTTGGGATCAGGATCAGAATCCTCAGGATCCTTGGGATTGGGATCAGGATCAGGATCAGGACCGGGATCCTCGGGATCAGGATTGGGATCTGTGGGATCCTTGGGATCGGGATGAAGATTGGGATCCTCAGGATCTTCGGGATCCTTGGGATCAGGACTGGGATCCTCAGGATCCTTGGGATTGGGATCGGGATCAGGACTGAGATCTTCGGGATCAGGATGAAGATCAGGATCGGGATCCTCAGGATCCTTGGGATCAGGATCGGGATCCTCGGGATCAGCATTGCCATCCTGGGGATTTGGATCCTCGGGATCCTCAGGATCCTTGGGATGGGGATCAGGATCCTCAGGATCAGGATTGGGATCTTGGGGATCAGGATCGGGATGAGGAATCGGGATCGGGATCCTTGGGATCGGGATCAGGATCCTCAGGATCAGGATTGGGATCTTAGGGATCAGGATTGGGATCCTCGGGATCTTTGGGATTGAGCTTGGGATCTTCAGGATCATCGGGATCCTTGGGAAGCGCGGCCTGGGGGAGGGGCCCGGTTCCTGTTTTGGGGTCAGGGTTCATCTTTTGGGGTCAGGATTGATGTTTTGGGGTCAGGGTCCATGTTTTTGGGGTCAGGATTGATGTTTTGGGGTCAGGGTCCATGTTTTGGGGTCAGGATTGATGTTTTGGGGTCAGGGTCCATGTTTTGGGGTCAGGGTTGATGTTTTGGGGTCAGGATTGATGTTTTGGGGTCAGGGTCCATGTTTTGGGGTCAGGATTGATGTTTTGGGGTCCTGGTCCATGTTTTGGGGTCTGGGTTCATGTTTTGGGTTCAGGATTGATGTTTTGGGGTCAGGGTCCATGTTTTGGGGTCAGGATTGATGTTTTTGGGGTCAGGATTGATGTTTTGGGGTCAGGGTCCATGTTTTGGGGTCAGGATTCATGTTTTGGGGTCAGGGTCCATGTTTTGGGGTCAGGATTGATGTTTTGG